AAGTTTAACATAGACTTTATTAAATAACTATAAACTCAATGTGCAATAATCATTTTCTATCCAAGCATCTTCAAGATCATATGTGCAGTACCGTTAATGTCGTGTGTTTATATTTTATTTTGTTTAGTATCTTCCATTGATCCTTGCCTGACATTGATAATTTCCCTCTGCTACTGTAACACAGTAAATATCATGTACCATATCGGAACTAATAAAGTTGATCTTAACTTAACAATAAAAATAAAACCCAAATTCAAACAAAGAAGAACTTGAACAAAGAAAATGAATTACACATCCTTTCTGCATTGTTCATGTCACCAAATATAAATGCTGATTCTGATGATGTATGAAAGATTCATATCGGACAATTTTATCAAAAGATAAATCTGTCCGGATCTACTTTGAACTTCTCTCTGATGAAAATCAGCCTGAGGATCATTATTCTCGCAGCGTTAGAAAACAAACTGAGCGTCACGTTGCTCTCGTGTGTAAAAGTGGGTTTTCGTCGACGTTATCTCCAGAGCGCTGCCAGACGCAGGTAAACAAACATTCGTGTTCAGTTAAGAGCAGAAACATTCTTTCGCAGGATAAAACAAACTTCCTGTGTTTCAGATCAGTAACGGTCAGACCCGTTCTCAGACAAACGTTGGCCTCCCCCTGCAGCCGTGTGGCTCCACAGTACCACACACAACTCAACCTCTGTTTTCACAAACTACAAGGCTCTTTAGATTTAAACTCAATGACCGGTGGTCGGATTCAGGCTCTGCCCTGACCTTTTAATTCAACATGTGACCACTACGATACAACAGCAAACAAAAGGCCTGAAGCCACAGCAGCAGCAGCAGCTTCGTTCCTCACATCCCTCCATCAGTCAGCTGCTTCTTCACTGCGGTGGACATCCAGAGGTTTTGTTGCTGCCCAACAAAACCTCTGGATGTCGATTTCACTCAGTGCATAAAGAGCAGAGGTGTTCTTTTCTTTAGACCATGGTTGTTTCAGGGTAAAAACAAAGTGTGTAAATCTTCACACAAGTTGTCAGTGTTGTTTTCGGCGCAGATGTAAAATGTGGTGAGTGAACATCTCACCCCAGCAGCAGCAGCTCTCCATATTTGATGGGTCCTTTGGTAGAGGTGTGGGAGGTGGGGATGTTTTCCTGCCCGAGTGAAAACATCTGTGCGGCGTTCTGAGGGGGGGGGGGGCGGCGAGGACTTTCCCCCAGTGTCGCCCTCAGAGCGTCTCCATCACCACACGTTCAAGACACGTCACCTACACACACGACAAAAAGAAGTTTAACTTCACAGACACACATTCACAATGATTCAATGTGAAGTGAGTTTCTGCTTTACGTCACTTTGAATATTTAATTTAAAATGTGTGAACAACTGCTCTGACAAAACACACAGAGGCTTCAACACAGCTTCACACATGACAACAATACACCCACACTGTCTTTGTGCTGGGAGCAGTGGCACACAATCTACGTATTGACTGCAGAGCACTGAGCGAGGCTGTGAGGTGGAAACAGGACCATTGACTTCCATGTCAGGGTGAGTCAGTGTGCAGCCGCAGCACTGGGCCTGATGCTGTCATCCTGTGTCCCGCAGGAAAACAACCGCAAAACAAACCGAGCATTCATCCATTCATTCATTCGTGAGTCCAGCTCTGAGGTTGAGACACTGCAGAGGACACAGCGTCATCACACGTCTGACTTACCCTGATTATCAGGGCGAATTATGCACCGACGCTTTTGTTCTGAGGCGACAGAGAGTTCAGGCTTTACTCAGGATTAGTTCTGGGTTTATTTGGGGTTTTGTAGAGTTAGCTTGGTTCTTGTAATCTTCCAGCAGCTGGAGACAAAGTGAGTCGACAGAGAAACATCATGTACACTGCATCCTTTATATTCTGTATATTTAAAAAGTATAAATATGGTTTGAATGCAGCGGAACAGTTTGTTCAAATCTTACATTTGACGTCCACGTCAGCGTCTCTGTGAGGGCCGGAGGAAACCATGAACTACCCACTGTTCTCATGGAGAATATGCCTGAGGGAATCTCTTTCACCATTTAAACCATGGAGATGAGTGAATATTGAAAACACTGTCACTCAGGGACGAGACGGACACTGACCACGTCTGAAGAACAGTGTCCTGGGGGGAAACCCTGCAGCCGGTTTATATATAGTTATGAGCATAATGAAAAGAAAGAGAGCCTCCTCCCTCCATCCATCACGAGCAGAGCTTCATTCAAACTCCATGAACGCAATCAGGCAGTGAAGAGGCAGCGGACAGAGAGTAATTCACTGCCTGTAACTGGACACCAGAGAGGACGACTGCTGGAGTGACTGGTCTGAGACAAACCCTCTGTTGTGAATCTCTTTCCTCTCGTGACGGAGACGTAACCTCCGCCCACAGACTCCGTCCATCACTCGTGCCTCAGATCTCATGGTTTTCTCATCGACGACACGAAGCTCTTTGGAGTTCAGCTTCTTCGCACAGCCTTGTCGGCGTTGCCGTGGCAACAACTACATTTTTAACATCAAGCGGAAGATGAAGCTACGCTCTTCATCGCGGCGCCCACTCCGCGTCACGCTCATCATATTAGCGTATCTTTGAAGCCGAAGTTGTTTCATGCGTGGAAAAAAAAAAAGTGTCTCAATGTGTCTGAACTGAAACACAACTGAATGCTGGATATTACCCATGATCCTCTGCTTCCTGAACAAATCCACCAAACTGTTCAGAGTTCTTCATGTTTTAAAGTTTGCTGCTGACTCTGGTTGTTAAGAACTGATCTCAGTTCAGCTTCACTCTTCCACTGGAGCTGATGGAGACTCTCAGTCACTTGTTCTCTCAGGAGATGAACCCACTCAGCAGAGTGAGAGAACAGACTCAGGGAGCGAAGGAGGAAACGTTCTCCACACATCAGACTCATCTTATGATGATTTTAAGTTTCTCCCTGCAGCCTGAGGAAGTAAAGTTCAGCTTTGGGCATCTTCACGAGCAGCTCACTAAAATACCAGTGTTTTCATAAGAGCCCTGAAGAGGAAATACCCCCCCCAGTCTGCACACACACGTCACAAACACACACCGCAAACACACACCGCAAACACACGTCACACACATACACACCTGACCCATTTCCCCAGTTCACCATGGCAACAGACAGAGATAAAGAACAATGTCAGTGAACAAACTGCCGATGTTTAAGCATTGGGTTGAGGGGCTGAAACAGTGTTTAACATATAGTTTAATTCTGAGCAGATTAAAGCGATGGCTCCATTCCTGCACCATGAAAACACCAGATTATTCAAAGTCGGGTCAGAATTGAGGCTCACGAACCAGAATAACAAAGATGACACACAGTCATTTCTGTTTGAATAAAGAGACGTGAAGAAAACAAAGATATCATAATAAATCATCTGAGATCGTTTTTCAGGTAAAAACACACTGAACGACCTGAAAATACAAAGTTGTGTCAGTGAAGAGTTTCACTCAGACCGTCACAGAGAAAAAGTGTTTAGTCATTATTTCAAATTAATGACGAGTTAAATGAAGCTGCATTATTTTAAGTGAGATTTTGTGTGAATGTGCTGATCGGGAAATGTCCTCATGAATCAGGTTTTGAGGTGTGATACCATTTGAATCCTGATGTTCATACGATCTCCTGGTGAATTCTCTGAGAACAGCTTTAAAAACATGCACATGGTTTATGCTTGAGAATGGAGGGTCTAAAGCTGATGGTGTCCTCACCCTCCCTGCTTTCATCCACTCCCTCTCTCTCCAGGGCCCGGGCCAGCGTGTGGAGAAGGGGTCGGCACGTCTCCGAGCTTTTAATATGAACGGACAGTTGGACAAAAAGGGCGAAATTTCAAGTTTTAAACGGAGAACAAAGGCAGCGTCTGCAGGGACAGATGCTCTGGTTGGATGGTGAATGCTAATCAGTTTGTGTGGCCTGAACAAAAGACGCCAGCTGGGCTGCAGAGACCCGGGAGGACCGGCCTGTCAGCCACAACCACTGCTTCATCCACACACACACACACACACACACACACACACACACACACACACACAAGAATTAAAGTATAATTACTTAAACGTGTAATTACTCTATATATAGTTAACTGCAAACTTAAAATCCAGGATTTAAAGAAAGCAGTAGAGGAGTATTTTAGGATACTACACAACATACTGTATATACACTACAGTCAAAGTATAACTGTGTGTATTGTTTTAAAAATCTCATTATACAATTAGTTAAATAACTATGTTTACATCCTGAATTCAACATCACACACACTTCAGATAGAATCTTTACAGGGAACATGAGTGTGAAGGTTCAGGGAACAAAGAGAAACACATTAAAACAATGAACACATAATAAATTATTATAGGATCATCAGTGTTAAATCAAATTACATCAAATTAAACGATGACAAATGACACAAATGAGCTAAAATCACTTTTAAACAGCTCAGTGTTGAAACGAGAGACGTGAGATTAAGATGATAAAAGAGACAGAAGATAATTTTCAGTGAACGTGAGTTAAACTTGTTTTTACACATTTAACTTCAGGAAACTAACGAACTTGATTATCTTCACTTTTCAGAAAAAACTGATTTAAGAACAACTCACAGAACTTCTGAGGCTGCTGGATGTGAACGTCCCGGGCACCGATGATCGAATCGGCCTCTGAACACTGAATATTACTCGATATTAAAAAGTTCACCGGGACTTTCACCGACTTTTCATCGGTCAAACGTAAAATTCACAACAAACTCAGTGAGCTTCAGCTTCGTCTCCAAACCTGCCTCTGATTGGCTGCTCCTCGTATTCTTACCCATACACCGACCAATGAGCACTCGTCATACCCAACTGCAACCAATCAGGGGCAAGGAAGGGGCGGTTCTTAAAAGACAAAGCTCGAGACCTCCCAAATCCTTTCAAAGTAAAACTAGGAAGTGGAGCAGCTGCATTTCAAAGTAAAGCAATAAAAGAGTTGATGTGATATTATCACTTAGTAAAAAGTACAAGTATTCAGTAAAAGTATTATCAATAAAGTGAAGATACTATCTGTAATCCCCCTGTATTCAAGTGTTAAAAGTACCAAAAGTAAAAGTACACGTTTAATACAGGATGATCAAAAGTTGAGAGGTTTCAAATATAAATCCTGATTATACAGATTCCAGCTATAACTTCACACAAAGTGCAATAAA